GTCCTTGCCGGGGTAAAGCCCTGCCCAGCCACGACTGAACCATCAGGGTGTTAGCAACATTCTTCTCATCCCAAATCCAAACCACAGCGCCATGCCAGCTACTAGGAAGAAAATTAACTCTATCCCAGCTGAAATCAGGGCAATGCTGCAGTTTATATTTTCATTTCAGATCTGCATCAAACAATTCTTACACTTGGATGTTTTTAGCTAAGTGGCAGTTTTAGAGAAAGACAGTCTCAAAGAAACAGCTTTATCTGAAAGAATTTCAGTCATCCTGGTTGTTTTCATTCTCTCTTGTACATAAATCTGAAGTCCCAGATAACGGGAAAAAAAATAAATCTATTTTTAAGCAAATTTTAAAACCAATAATTTCTTTGGGGAAACTTGGTTTAAGTTTTTCCTTAGCTTCAGAAAACTGGATCAAGATATATTTCCAGGTAAATCTAAAAAAAAGAAAAAAAAAAAAAAAAGAAAAAACCACACCATTCCCATTCCCTGACCATCATGGAATGCCACTCTGCAGCTGTACAACAAAATTTGCATAAGAATAGAATAGAAGGCTGTAACTAGGATATAGTAAGGACATAACTCATCATCCTGATTTTACCTGAAGACCAGACTGCTTAGCAGGACTGTTTTACCCTTTTTTTTTCCCCCCCAACATCTGTATTTAATAATTAATCAAAGTTGACCTTTAAACAAAATTATTGATTTTGCATGAATGCACACCATATATTGTGGGATACAGAAAGAACGTTCTTTGCCATTTTATCCCCACATGAATTTTTGGAGGAGGAGAGAAGCAACGTAGAAAAAAAGATACTTTAGACAAGCATTGTCAAGTCAGAAGCTTAAATGGCAAAGTAGGAGGGATTTTCTGGTTGTTATCTTTTTTTCTTTGAAATAAATGAAGGTTCTATCAGTTAATGCAACCCCTTGCTAGGGCTGCCTGGAACGTCTAAGGATGAAGGCTAACAGACATCAGCTGTTAGGACAACTCTGGCACAACAACTATTATCTAAAATATATTTCACAGACTGGATCCTCTATGAAGAAATACACTAAATTAACAGGACACTTACTTCAGCTTGCCTGCAGTCATTTATAACCTCAGTAGCTTTTTCTTCTAGAGTAGTCAGCTCTTCTGTCAAGTCTTTAATTTCTTTCTCATTATTTTTAATTTCCTTCTCCGTGCAAAGAACAGCCTCTTCAGATTTTTTCAGGTTTCTGCATGGGCACAGAGATGTTTGTATACCTCACATGAGTGCAAATACGACATAAGATAATCTGGAAACACAATCTTACTTACGAAGATTGTTCAATAGCTACTGACAGCCAAACAGGAAATGCTTATTTATGTGTGAACTCTCAGACTCCTGAGATATCCAAGTGAAACAAAGTTGTCTCCCTCAAACATACAGCAGACAGGCCTCATTAAATGACTTAATCTGTTCTTTCAGAGATGGTTTTGACATTTGTTCTGAGTATTCACTATGTATTGTTAAGGTAACATAAAAAAAAAAAAAAAAAATTTTTTTTTTCCTGACGTGCCTCATAAAATTAGTCCCTTCAGATTTGAACTGCTCCATTGTGTGGCAATTAAGTGCTGTTTTGAATATTTACCCTGAAATATTGTATTTTAGTGATAGCTAAATACTAGCAGAAAAATTAAACGTGCCTTTTAAAGTGCCTATTAGAAACTAAAATTTTTAGTTTTCCTGCAGGCACCGATGCCAACAGATACAGCTCCTTGAAGGCTGACGTGACACTCCTTGGTCAGGTTTCACTAAGCTTTCTAGGTCTCTGATCCTTTGCCTGTGAAGCACACTAACAAAGATTATGGTTCTTAATTAAGAGCCAGTCTCCGTTTGAGGTAAAAATCAGCATAGAGAAAAAGGTTATGACCTCCCTCCAACCATAAGAGGTGAAAACCATCTCCTCTAGCCGGACAAATCCCCCATGGAAAGAAAGGTCCAACTGTGATCAAACACAAATCGCAGCGATTTATAATTACAGCCTAAAGCTTTACTGTTGAGCACACTGGTGTCTACTATACCTTTCCGCAGTCTTGACTGCCACTTGAGCTTTAGTAATAGTTGAAGTACATGCGTCTATTTCTTTGTTGATCTTATCAAGTTTGTCTTGCTGTGCTTTAAGTTTATTATTATTGATCTCAACTATGAGGTTGTGTAATCGTTTAACTTCATTTTCTATTTTACCAGCTTTCTCAGCAACGCAATCATAATCTGTCAATAAACAAAATTGAGTTCAGGTCATTATGCTGTTCCTAGCAACACTGGGCTGCTGTGATGCATCAAGATTTAAGTGAGAAAAAGCTCTGCTGTATGACTACATTGAGAAGTGTTCTTTATACTGTGAAAAATGTTTGTTTGATTGGTTTTTTTTACTGTGGCAAAAAGAAGATTACCAACCACATCTTTCTGAAGCTATTATATGCTACCAAAGCTTTTTTGGTGTCAACCACCAAAATTTTAATTAGATTACTTAAGGCATATAGAGTACTTAAATACATGAGATAGTACATAAGAAGTTATTCCAAGCTCATTCTTTGCATTTAATGGGCAGATGCTCAAAGGGGTTACTCTGTAAGAACTGGCCACTAACGGTTGCTCGGTAGCTGGTATTGCTGTGTCATTAGTACACACACTGAATAATAAGGTAGCCTACTCTACCTTCAAGGTAGGTAAGTTTCCCTATTTAGCTTATTCTTAAAACTCAACAAAATCATGTTAGTAAGTTGAACAGCTTTCAAAAATTAAACAATGTAGCACCTTAGTATTCTAAAGGCAAAACAAACAAACAAAATCCCACACTAAGTTTGCTATAGATTTGTAATTTCCTTTTGGGGACAGAAGGGGTAAAGCAGAGACTTGAAAGGTGGAAGGCAGTCATCTCTCCAGAGGAGAACACAGGGTTGCGTCTCTCCATTATTTGCTAGAAATGTTAGAGAAGATATTTGTAACGTCAAGCCTTTGTGTGACTGAGGAAGTAAACCATTCGTACCCTCTTGATGCTATACTGTTAAAAAGAGGCATAGAGGGAATCCATAGTAGAACGCATTCTCTTTCCTAAAATGCTATGAAAGCAGAATTGTGGGGAAGGGAATTCTGTTTTACTGTGCTCATATTATTCCCTCAGCAAGAAATAGAAAGAAGCAGTCAAGGTTTACTTTACTGAGCCATCAATTACTTGAGAGAAACTGTTATTCAAGTTCTCGAAGTAAACATCTTCCACAAAAAGAACGGGGGTACAGTGGGCCCACAACAGAATACAGGGTGTTCCTTTTATAGTCACGTAATAGTTCTGTTAGAGCATGGCAAAAGCCTTGACTTTATTATCGTTACCCTCCACATTAACAATTCTTATCCCTAATTAAATTAAGTTTCCCTATGAATCTGTATGTAATACAGCCATAAAAATCTAACCAAATAAACAAAAAATACTAAAACTAATGTTTACTTTAGCTTGACTGAAACATGAGCTTAAGCAATTGCAAACACAGGGTTTTCACACTCTAATCTCTAGAAGCACCTTTTATCCCTGTCTTAGAAGAAAAGAGCTTCCAAACCAAGATACAGTACCACACTGGTAATCTGAAAGAACAAAGCCGTAACCATTCATTCCTGTATTAGTAAAAGAACATGACTACAGTTTTTATCTATAATCCCCTCCCCACAAAATGTACCTTTTTTATAACTACTAAGGTTTTTTTCCAATTCCTTCTGTTTGCTTTTGTCCGGAGCAGCAGCAATTACGTTTGCTTCAAGTTCCTTAACTTGGGTTTTTAGATGAATTTCTTGTTCGGATAAACTCTACAGAAAACACAACTGCGTTAGAATCCTGTACTTTAAAAAAGATCCCTGATACTAAGGAGGACTATGGTAAGCTGAGGCTGAGAAGTTATCCCCCTGCACGTTCAAGGAGAAGCCAGATATTGCCTCAGTAATAAACTTGTTCACCTGGATACTTGCTGCATACTTTTCTAAAGTATTTCTCATTTCCTGAACATCCTGGCACAGTCTTCTTATGGCTTCTTCAAGTTGTAGTTTCTCTTCTTCACACTGTACTGCTCTTTTAGAATCCTTCTGCAGCTGAGATTCCATTTTACTGACCTACACAAAAATGAGATATGATCATTTACCTAGTGTCACCACTACAAAACAAAGCAAGATCTCATTCATGTGCTCGACAGCCTCTGATCTCTTAAAACATAAGAAAGTAGAGTAAAAACTTCAAAGTTTGCTTTAGCAGGACAGAATATAGAGGCTGACTGCTCAGAAGATCAATTATAATAGTGAAAACCAAGAGAAGCAAGCATAAGAAAAAGTAAGTTGAAGAATCCCTGTCAAAATAGCTTGTAATGGAGAATTGTTTTAAGGAAATAAAACTAGATTAAGCTTGAAAGGCTTAAGTTGGAGTAGTGAAGGCAGAAACCAAAAACCACACAAACAGAAGTTAGAGGCAATTTTTACTAGAGTTAAGATTTGACATTCGTTGGTTTCTGTGGTGTTAGGAAGACAAGCTTTTGCATGTCGTAACTGACCAAGTGACCAAATCTTGCAATTCGCCTTCAAGAGCAGAAGGAATAAGGATATGTTTCAGACCTCAGCCCATTTTCTGTTTTTACATACAGAGAACTGTCTAACAGGCATGGATATGAATATACTTGTTCTACCTGCAGTCATCCACTATGCTAGACAGGTACAGAGCCAAGACTCTTGAAAATGGAGAAATTGTTATAGCTACTGATCTTTATCGAGTGCCACAGTATCTCTCATGGGCCAAACAGGAAACAGCACATAAGCCTGTCCCTTGGAGAGAACAAACGAATAAATCTAAAGTGTGAAGACAAGAAATAGCAAAGTCCTTTACTAGTAAGATCTAACTATGATCTGCCTTATATATTTATTGACCCTTTACAGGGCTAGGGCAATAACACTGTCCATGAGGTTAGTTTGTTAGTTCTCTACAGGTACAGCATGATCTGAATAGACTTGATCAAACAATCAAAATAACCCTAAATAAACAAAACAAAGCAAACAAACAAGAGTTTTATGTCAAACTCCCCAGGGTTTGCAGAATTTTATCTTTTCTTGGCCAGCGCATTGCTATTTTCCAAGCCGAGTGAAGGTGAAAATGCAGGAGATAGACAAGAGAAGAATAGATATATATTTTAACCTCTTGGTGATAAAACCAACAAGTGCAGAAACATCAGCACTTACAGCAAAGGTGGTGACATGCTTATCTCCTCCCCCAGAGAAATCAGATAGAGAGAGTCTTAAAATTGACTTTGACTTTGAAGCTCTCCAATTTGAAAGTATTTTCACCTAAAAAATACTAACTACTGCTTCCGTGTCCTTAGTGGTAAGGAAATATTCAACCCTTGTGTTGGCTTATAGCTATCATTCCTACAGAGCAAAAGTTTGTTCTCCTGTAGGGAGAGGACTGATGCCAGGAGCCATGGTTTACTTGACAGGTACACAGGGGAGCTTGTCTTCTTGAAGAGGTTTTAACACTTTGATGTTTGATCTCAGTTAAGCTGATCAGCAGATGTAAGGCAAAAAGGACACAAGCTACAGTTTCATCCACACTAAAGAAAACTATGGTCTAAAACCTAAAAGAATTGAGAAGAAAAAACCAAGCTGTATCTTGATATTCCAAAACACTCCTGAAATACAAATTTGAAGGAAAGGTCTGCCACTCCCTGACAAATCTTACACGGGCATGAAACAAAGGACCAAACCTGTCTCTCGTACTGCTCTACAGCTCAATGGTTCCTTGCGATCAGTCTCTTCCATGTTCTCATCCCTACCTTCAATCAGTTTCCAAGCTATCAAAGGTCGCATTAGTATGAGACTATAAATTAAACAATAGGCATACAATAGCTGTGCTGCGAACAAATGCGCTTAAGAGCAATATAACCTGTGAACTTTAAATCATTGTTAATCTTGCATCACAGATTGTTAACTATTTGTGCTGATTTAAAAGGACATCACAGGTGTGTATGAACTGCCAAAACATAAGGAACTTCGACAAAATTCCACTTCTAATGAAAACTACGTACTAACCTCTTCTTCCGAAATATCCATTACAACTGAGGAACCCATTCTGCCCTTCATTATTTTACCCCCACCACCAGTCATTGTTCCTAAATTAAAAGAGACGAAAAGAAGTTAGCAAGCTGATTGTCCTTAGATATCATCTATAAAGTGTTTAAAACATAGTTTTAAGTTTGTACTTAAATACCTGACTGTTCAATGATTTGTCCTTGCAGTGTTACCACCCTCCATCTTTTATCTTTTTGGAATGCTATTCTGGTAGCTTCTTCCAAGTTATTAGCTACTAGGGTATCACGTAATGCGAAATAAAAAGCCAGGCGAACCTTCTCGTCGTCTACTTTCACCAGATCAAACAACCGAGGAGTATTTTCAGGAGTTGGGATTTTTTGAAGTTTTTTTTCCCATACAGCCATCTACACCAAAAAAGTAAATAGACGAATGAGAGATTCCTCAGGATAAATTATGAGGTCGTTTCATTATTCTAAGGTATGTTAAGGCTTTAAAGTACATATAATCGTACTTCAATAAACAGTAAAGCTTCCTTCCTTGGGGGATCGCTACTTAATTTCCAGCACAGTTAAAAACTCACTGATAACTCATTGCTCTCTTTCATAGTTTTCATAGTGTACAGTTACTAGAGTACTTGGTTTATTAAGTTTACCAATTTGATAAAAAATCTAAATATAAAAATACAAAAGAGCAAATGTTTGTTGTACATGTGCAGGTATCTAAAATGCCTTGTAATTCTCTGTAAGCAAACATTAACATTTGGTAGTAGAATATTCTAAGGTACCAACAGCCTGTTAAAACATCTGACATTTTAGCTTTACCTGTATTAATACATATACAGCATAACATATTAATATATAAAATATATATTTATACACATACATATTAATACACTCTACATCTACAGTATTAATAGTGTGCACCTTAGGGTAAATCAACAGTTAGTTTTGCCAAAGCGCTAGTACTTACTTTGTCCAGGGCTATAAATGTGGCAACACCAATTCCTCTTGCCTTTAAGAAGTTCACACATTTCTGTGCAGTATCAATTGTATCAACGACAATGTGGTCTAAGGCACCGCAGGACGATGAAATAGCAACATCATACTTTTCACTGATAGCTCCCTGGGGGGGGTGGAAGGCAGAAGTACAGTGATTGGCTTGGCATCAACAGTTTGTCTTGGTATTAAGAAATAAGTGACAAAACGAATTCTAAAACAATTTGCCGTGAAAGAACTTAAATCTTATTTTACAAATTCTGATACCACACCTGTCTTCTCCTGTGCGCTGCTATGTACGTATTTCTAATGTACTTGTTTCCGTAGTAGAAATTCACATACTTAAGAGCTTCAAAAGGGGTGCTTCTGGTAGAGCAATGTGGTAGCATTGATTTATTTTCTGTAGACAAACGTCAAATTGTATATGCCAGCATCTTAGCTAGGCAGTTTGGCCTAACAAAATAATTTAATGTGTTCCGTGTATGGTTCTACCATTGGTCAGCTGGGCAGGACCTGGCATGTCATATACTTCTGCGTGCTGTCCTGTACTGATCTGAGAAATGGGTACAGGGGTATTCCTCATCTTTGAAAAAATTCTTGTGCATCTGCAGATAAAACCAGCATGGAGAGCCAACTGTGAGTTATCCAAGAACAGATTAACCTCACGCTCCTCTCTGTGGCAAGTGATAACAGAGCATGAGACAAAACACATGCCAGCTGTACTAGACAGTGGTCTGCTGCTGTTTGAACTGTATCCTTTTTTAATAAATCTCTACACATACACTAAATAAACTGAGTTTTCTGAAGCAGAGGTATTTCTTGGATGAACAGGTGGGGAAAAAAAAAGAAAATTGCAGAATACAAAAATAGCACTTTTACATTTACACTGACATGCACATATTGTTCACTGCTAGAAAAAGCTGCAAATTTTCAGAACTTTAAATCAAGACTGTGTGGAAAGAGCTGATAACACTCAACTTTTTGCTGTGACAAGCTTTCCTTGGACTTCTGAAACAACAGTATTGCTCTTTTTGATTTGACATGTATGCAAGTAAAACAAGAGGAAACAAACAGCAAAGAAATGACCACATTTTGTAAATTTTGAAGCAAAAAAAAAAAGTGTACAGTTCTACATTAAGTTACATACAAGTTGCAAGATCTTTTTTTAGGTCTCGTGGCAGTTCTACCAGGTGTATGGTTTACCAATTGATTCTACCTTCTGCAGCATCAGAAGGTAAAGAACACTATTCCCCTATACTGCTCCTGCATCTATGTTCCTAATGTTCAAAGGAATCAGAACCACTACAGCTCTCAGTTGTAGCCCAACACAGAAGCACAGGCAGGACCAAAGCACGGACAGGTTACAAGACATTTTTAGTATCCTCTTGAGCATATTCCCACGGGGACTGCAGTTAAGTGATTTAGCTTAAAGATCAGCCTACCAAAACCACAAAGCTTCCTCATAGATATTGCAGTTAAGTGATTTAGCTTAAAGATCAGCCTAAAACCACAAAGCTTCCTCATAGATACTGCCTTTCCTTAGTGCTGAGCAGAAGAACCTCAACAATCTTCTTTTTTTCATTTATAGCAAGTCCACAGGATTTGCAACTCTGCTCTCCAAATTCATAGCACCAGAGAAGTGAGGAATTCACTCAGTTACAGAAACACCACTCTGTTCATATAACGTTCAAGACTAAAAGTATAATAGCCTTTTAAAATTTACCAGTCTTCCATATAGTCCATGAATATTTCCAGATTTCTTCTGCTGAAGCAGAGCCTCAAGCACTTTTCCCCGACTGCGACTTAGTGCTAAAGAACTTTTGGCTTCTTCTACTTTTAGACGCAGATTTCGAAGAAGATTCTTAGCACCTGATTCTTCTCTCCCCAACTTCTCAAGCTCTTTCTCTTTCTGATGGTTGAAAGACAGACATTATCTTAGCCTCACAATAACTACTGTATTCAGGGAGTCTTAGATTCATGATTATGTGGGCAATGAAACCAGCCACTGAAAAGCAGAATTGCAAACATTTACCACAATAAAGGCTGGCATTTGGATACACTTCAGCTAGCATTGAGTACACTTTGATACAAATACAACAGCTTATGAATTTATGAATCAGACTTAGGACGAGGTAGTGGGATTTTTCTTCTGTGGGGAATGAGAGAGGAGTGAGAAGTGAACTTCAGAGAAGGCTCAGAAACATAGCCATTTATTTATTTTAAATTGTCTCATTATTATATTTAAACTGATTCCCTTGCAGGGATATATAGGATTTAATTTTCAGTGCTTAATGTTAACATTTGCTTAACCCAAAGTAAGTTTGAAATCAAATACTTCATCAGTTAACTGAGTATTAGAATATCGGCTTTAAATGCTATTTTATTGGAAGCAGTTTTTAATTTATTTTCACCATGATTATTCCTAAAACAAGGAGTGGAACTTTGGTTTGTGTGTTGCAACATTGTGTTGTAACTCAAATCATGTATGAAAGTTAAGTCTCACCTCCTTTAATTCCTTTTCAGCTCGTGGTAGTTTTATATCTATATCTTTGATAGCAGCTTTCCTCTCTTTAAGGATTTCTGAAGTAGTCGTCAGAGCCTCCTTTGCCTGATTTAACTGAGACACAGCAGTGTTATGACGGCTGAGATAGATATCAAGCTCTGACTGGGCTACATCCATCTTTGAGCGTGCTTCATTCACTGCTTTACTAAACTCCATAAGCTCTTTCTCTTTGCTCTGTGCGAAAATGGACAAAATTACAATGAAAAACAGACAACTGGAATCTAGTACATCAGTCACAATGTATGAACGAAAAAGAGGAAACAAGCATGTTCTTTTACTAGCTCTCCTGTCAGCAGAAAAAGAGTTACATTCTCTAGAAGAACAAGTATATCTTAATTTATTAACATATTCAGCATGGAAATGAAATACAGCATTTTTCATAATTATAAAGAACATCAGGGAATTATCTTAGAACATTTCTACACAAACTCTGTGTCATTTTCTCAACTTAAAGTTGGGAGGAGCCCTACATGTGCTAAATTACAGATCAACTGGAGAAACCGTGTTTTCAAGCACAGAAAATAATCCCCCACTTTTACAAGATAGATTTCCAGCCTCCGGGTGTTTAGCAATTGGACAGCTAATATCAACAGCAATAACCAAGTGTTATAGTAGTTGTCTATTAATTCAAAGACAAATTACAGCTGTGTGAAAGTCTTGGAATGTACCATTTCAGATCTCTTTATATATTTTTGCGACATATTGGCTTAAACATTTTGATGGGAGAATATTGAAGTGTGTTCAGATAACGCAAGTGTAGAACTATTTAATATACATACATGAATGATATACTTGATCATACATGATCACTATAAAAAGCAAACTTAATGACAAAGATTTAGCTCCGATTATAAATTAAAAATGAATTTCCCAGTTAGCCTCCATTGAACTAAGACATGGAACAGGGTATTTGCGATATAAACCAGCACTCTACAACTGTCTTGTGATTGTTCCGTTCATAAGTGTAAAAGCTATACATCAGTTAACACAGTAAATATAGTAAGTCAAAACAGTTCAAACCTCTTTTTCTTCCTGAAGTCCTCGTGTTTCTTTCTTAAGGCTATCCATAACCTGCTTGAGCTTTTCTTCTTCTTTCTCTTTTGTCTTTTCAAGAAGCTCTTTCTTAGATGTCGCTTCTCTGATAGCTTTTTCACTATTGGAAGGTACATTTTTCAATTCTTCTCCCTACGCAAGGAAAAGACTTTTAACTTCCTCTCCCACTGAAACAAAAGTTTTGCCTTATCTTTAAACCCTGCCTTTCATGTACTATGTAGATGACAAATGTGGTTTTGTAGGGTAAGAGACACTCTGGCTCTGGCAGGAGGCCTGGATGTTATTTGCAGGGCTTGTTCAGTTTAGAGAGAGAACACAGCTTTACACATAAGAACTCAAGTCTTTGAATCACAATAAGGCTTAATTCCGAAATACCTACTGCCAGAAGGCCACTCTTGATCCAAAGAGTGATTTAAGATCTGTAACAACTGGCAAGAACCAACTTGGTAAAATATATCCATTAAATTAACTAAATTAACTAGGGAAACTGAAAAAAAAAATGTTTTGAAAAGGTATTAACTGTGAGAACACACAACATTCCCATTATCTCAACAAACATGATAAAAAGATGCTTCGCAAGCCATGAGACCCAACAGAGCCGAGAAGCAGCAGGAAAGGTTTTGATTTTGCCTTTAGGCTCGTCAGTCTCCCGTAGTAAGATGTGCAATGGTTTAAGGGAGAATAATGCATTACTTCAGTAAGCAATTTGCAAACAAAATCCCTAGCTGATTTAAATGACAAAATATCTGATGAAGAAAAAATTTAAAACGTATTTTTCCATCTTCTTTGTTATACCAAGTACAATTGGTCTCCTTTGCTATTTTATCCCAGCTGCACAAAGATGTTCTCATCTAGAGCAAGCAATTCCATTTCTTTTAAGTAAATAAAGTTGCAGCTCACAATACCTTTTCTTTGTCCTTCTGAAGTTGCTTCTCCAGTTTTTTAGCCTTGCTTTTGGCATGTTTTATATTTTCCCTTACTTTAACATCCTGCAAATCCAACTGAGTAAATTTTTCTTTATTTTCCTCTACAAACTTTGTAATTTTATTGAGTTTCCTAAAGGGGAAAAAAAAGAAAGAACAATCTATTCCATACCCTATAAAAATAATGTCAGCAGAGTTTAGCTTAATAAGTAAGCATATAGAATCTAAACTAATACTACTCAGTTTTTGGGAAAAACATCCAATACTTGCTATATTCACGGTATTTTCCCCAGGGAAATGACGTTTCATCAGGAAAAAGATCAACTAACAAAGTAATATTAAACACATTTTCAGCAATTTTTTTTTTTAAATGGAATTTATAATTCACATCTCTCACAAATAGCTTACTATGTTCTCAGAGGATGAGGGTTAATATTGCAGTTGGAGTAGAGATTAGCACCCAGACAAATCAATTTTAGGGAAACACAATTCATGCATAAGAGATTCATAAGGAAATCAGAGACAAATACCTAACTTCTGCTTTCTCAGGTGTTTCCCCCCCTCCGCAATACAACTACCACAGCTTTTTCTGAAAATCCTAATTCTAACACCACATATACAAAATACATAAAACACAATACTCTCAGCTTACGAGTCTATACCTAAAGTACTTACTTTTCAAGTTCTTTTAAAGCTTGTTTCTTGGTTTTCATTTCATCTGCAAGTTTAGTACTCTTCTCGTTAATATCTTTTGTTTCTATGTTAATTTCTTCTTTCTGCTTTTCCAAATCATTCATTCTCTTCTTTAGGTCATAGCTAGAGGGGGGAAAAAAAAAACAACAAAACAAAACAGAAAAACTGACTTTTTTCTATAAAGCTAACATTCATAAAGAATATACATTTCCAATCTTAAGTGTAGCACAGTGATTACGTAAAGTATTAAATCCTAATATCCATTATTGAGTAACCTTGCCAAGTTAATGCAAACCAGCAAGGAAATCTTAACACTTTGGATACCTCAGATGAAAAATAGTCTTTAAGGGGTCTACATTCTCAGTTTAAGTATAAAGCTTCAAGAGATTAATTTGCCAGACTATTTTGTGTAGAAAGCTGGCAAGCAGGTTTTTGGTTTTGTTTTTTTGGTGGTGGTGGGTTTGGTTTTTTTTCTTGCTGTTTTGGGCTTTTCTTAAAAGGTTTTTATGAAAATGGTCTTTATTTTCCACATGCTATTCAACTAATTTTGAAGGACTGATACAGCTGTTAAGAAATGCAAAATATTTCTAATTGGAGATATGGAAGTGGAGTTTAACACCTCCACTACCACATTAAAGCCAAGTCAAAAACTTTAGATAATACTTACATATAGTATTGACAGATATTATTCTTTTCTTTAAAGATTTTGTTTTCCAAACAAAGAAATTCAATGGCTTTATTCTTGTCCACTTCCAAGGCATCTTTTTCTTTTTCCACCATTTTAACTCTATTTAACTAGACAAGACAGAGAATCAGAGCTGACTTTACTGCTACTACTACAGAACATTAAAACATGAGAAAAAACCCCAGCCCCTCTGTAGCACGTGTCCTCTGGAGACTGTCTTCAACAATTAACTCTGCAAGGCAACTTAGCACTACCAACTTTCTGAAGTAACAGATCACCATTTCCGCAGCAAAGGCTGTACTTCTAGGGCAATTCAAACAGTCATTTAAAACTAAAAAGGGATCCTACAGATGCTAGGAACAGCTCAGGCAAATCGAGGAAAATGTAAGTGAGAAATAAAGGGGAGTTACCTACAGACAGTCTGTGTATGTTATTTTCTATACTTCAGCCTTTAGACTAGCCCCTTTTAAGTTAATTCCTCCAACTTTGTGTCTTCCGTCTTTCTTCCCAGAATTTAAGTCTGCAACATGTTAGGATTTACCAAGGACACATCAAGTAAAAAGAGCTTTGATGTTTAGTACTTTTAGAACTCAATGCATAAATAAAACATTATAAGTGCAAGTTCTGTCATAGATCTACACAGCCCAAGTCACAACTGATTTTCTGTATTTTAAGCCTCCTCATCCAGCTGTGTCCATCACCTCACCAATGCTCTGCCTCCCTCTTCCCCTCTCCTTTCCTTAGCATATGAAAGGCTTCCCTGCTACATCTCCCATTTGTTATTTAGCAGTAGGAGTAAGGCAGATTAAAAAGCCCCAGCTGGATGCATTCAGGTACTGATGACCTCTCTCTATGCAGTCTGCGAAGTTGATGTGGTGGATAGGATCGAAGAGCATTCAGCAGGTAAAATCCCGTGTTCCAACTCAAGCATTCAAACCTTTGGGAAGTGAAAGCCAACAGCACTGCAAGCATTTAAAGGAGTGCAACTGATGTTGACTGCCCATTTATTTTATAATAGAGAGAAAGAGCAGATGCAATTAAAGCTAACTCAAAATTTCTCTGTACTTCTACTCTCGTAGAGAAATGCCAAAAATTAACCAAGTCTTTATGTTAACTGTTTTTCTAAAAAATCCAGTAATGAAACATTGCAAGTTTATAACATTTATTTATAATTCAAACAAAGCTTTCAGAGACTCACCTTTTCTCCTCTCTGTTCATTTAAAATCTCTACTCTGCGACACAGAGTTTGGATAGGATTTTTCAGTCGTGCAGATCCTATTAAGTCTTCTAAGTATTCAAGCATGCCTTCATCATGCTCAGTCTGGCCTTTCGGTTTCATCATTGCGATTTGTTCGACTTCCCCCTTGGAAAAGAAAAGTTTGATGTTTTCTTTTCTTAACTTTTTTTTTTCTGGAGAAAAGAACTAGTATTCTGCAAAAAATACAAACATCTTCAGGATGCAGGTATGCGACCATATCCTAACAGTATAAAAAAAGAACAAAATAATGCAGTAACTGAAACCCACTATTCAGAGTACCCATGTATGTGGGACAACAAAGATGAATGAATAGAAGTTTCCTCCAAGGAGCGGTGATGTGCATGAAAAACAGCATCTCTTCTGAAACCAACATTCAGGTCTAAGCATTTTTTCATTTATCTAAAGATTCAAAATTATTTCCCCAACCTAAAAAAAGAAGAGAATAAAGCATGCCCTCTAGGTCACGTAGCACTCAATAGTCTTAAGGTAGCTTAATCAGGATTGAAGTCCCTGAAGGGTTCTCTTTAGAAAACAGAAGGCCCATAAAATCATGTCTGATGGATGAACTGGACTTGTAATTCATACAATTGAGGCTTCCTTTTTGGAAAAAGAAAAACATTCTTTAAGTATTAGGCTCCCTTCATTTAATTTCCCTTTACATAAAGCATTAACTTTAAATTATTAAGCTGAATAGTAACAATAATTAGTTTTTTTGAAAAATAAGAATTAGGAAAGATTAAACTGAGACAATGACAAGGACTGTTTATTTTACTGATGCTATCAATAGCCAACAAAAATCAAATCTACATTTTATGCTAAGGACAAAGTAGCACCCAATCTTTTAAAACACAGATTACATTTTGTAAATGACATGGTCATATATCAGAAGGTGAAGACATGAAATTGAATACACACATATTAAAATGTTATCTGGAGCAAGACTAGACATGATAGATGCTGCAAAAATTAAATAAAGAGAACACCGAGTAAAAACCATTCATCCTTCAAAAACCCGGGTAGTTAGGCACATGACAAGAGACAACTTATTTGTAAAACAGACAACCAATACTGCAGAGTGCCCGTATTGGCCTTTGTGACCAATTTTTAAATGCATGAAATAACAAGCTGGATTACAGTTTTTAATTTAGTTTTAGAACTGACAAGATTTAAAACCAAACCAAACTAAAATTTGTATTCCGGTATCCGAGCTAGGTATGTAAAAAAAGCCTAAGTCTATATCCACAGAGTGAAAATATAGTTAAGAATTTAGTTGTCATTGTTGGCTGCTTGTTGAGCTTGAGCTGACAGCTTAATCTCTACAAAAGCATGGATGAAGAAGAACTTCTCAAGAACATAGAGAAGGAGGGGTGATTAACCAGACTGCTGAAGAACCAGAAAGGGCAGTCACAGAAGTCAACAAACGGCAGGATTTCTAGGCAGGCATCGTAAATCAGACCTGTAACCAGCTAAGAAAGTTGAGGAAGTTCCTGAACCAAGGAAGTTGTTATAATTTTTTACCAAAGTGACTTCATTCCATGTACTCAGTATACAATGACACCTAGTGGCACTAGGCTTTTCTTCCAGTTAGTAAATACCACTTGGCTGAGCAGAAGGGAAAAAGTGAAGTTTTGCAGATTTTGCAATACAAGAAGTAGTATTTAAGTCAAGTTGTTCTTGCACGTAATTCCTTTGTTACAGTAAAACACAGAGGCAGAGGTTTTTGGGTTTTTTGAATTTAAATTTCTAGAAGTTAAATGCACCTAAGCTTTTATTTTCTGGTACTTACTGTTCCTAAAAACATGTCAGCAGGTTTGACAAGACGAAAAACCCAACTCTTCTTTTTATTTCTTCTGCATATCAAAAAGCCGAAGAGTTAGTTTTCTAATAACTACAGTTGTGTTTTATACAATTCCAATTACACATTTGCTCCCTTGCCACAAAAGTATGATTTCTCTACCAAAACACACCTGCTAGTGAGACATTGCTCATGGGTAGGAAACTGTGCAACCTAAACTTCTGTGGAATTGTCATGAATGTCTGTTTTGTTTCTTCCTGCATTAAAGCATCTCCTGTTTACATCCAAGAAAAAACAATCACAGAAAACACATTTAATTCAGGTGCCGAGCATCAAGTCTTAGAATTTTCTACACTGCATGTATATCCCTCAAATTAGGTGTCTCTGTAAACCCCAAAACTACCCTGGATTTAACATGAGCACAGGAATCATGGAAAAGCAAGGAATTTAAGTTAACCTTTTTTGTGACCTAGTTAAGCATAATTAACCATCTCCAAGTCACAACCATCTAAGAAAGATGATAATGCAGTTGTGAGGGTTCTCCGTAGCTCCTTAATGTAATGGAATATAACTACATCACGTTTAATGATACAGTAACTAATGAAATTTAATCCAATTGTATCTAATTCTATAACCTCATAAATTAAGAAATCAGGGTTTTGGTTGTCTACATGGCAAATAAATACATCACCACATGACCAGGAATTACTGGTGACTTCAGTTCAGGCCAAACATACAATAATATTGTGAAAAGCTGAAGTGAATTGAGTACAGTTGAGAAGATAATGCACGTGACTTGAACTTGTCAGGCTGGCTCTTGCCAATTTTATATAATTCCTCTACCTCACCATAAGCAAGCAATTTTAGAATTACATACTCTTCAGCTTGTATGAGATGGACTACCTACTTAAATTCCTGGATTCTTTCTTATCAAGGGTAAAAATGAAAACATTTAGAAACTATAAACAATAACTGAATAATAAGAATATTAAGTATTAATATTTTTATTCTTTTATCAAGTTATTATGAAATCTGTTTAGCCCACCGCTACAGTTAACACATTAAGAAATGAAAAGGTTTCCAGCGGTTTTCACTGATAAAGGAGACTGAAAAAGTTGTACCTGCTCTTTTTGCAAGTAGCTGTGACAATGATTAACAGGGGAAAAAACACATTTTACAACTCTGCATTCTGTTAAAACTTGATAGACAATTGAACCGTTTCTTAACTTTTTAACTGTACTTATTACTTGACCCATTATTTGAATTATGTTAAAAAAAAAAAAGCCTTGCTCATTTGTCTAGTAAAAGATCTTTTGAAGTACCGACAGCATTTGAAAGTGAAACTAAGGCAGCAGCAGGCAGACATTTGTTGAAAGAACATGCTTGGGCACGCTTAACATAGCCGTCACATCTAAATTTAAAGTCTCAGAACAGACCACCAGGAAATCTCTTTTAATTATTTGCCTCAGTTATCTTCCTCCAGTTCACAGGCATGAATTCAGGAGAGGAGAGTGAGCGATATGCAAAAAAAATAAAAAAAGTACATCCTCTATTTAGCCGAGAGGACAATCAAAATGGATGTCAACACTAAGACATTGGTGACACTGGCAGACAGCTGACAAAGAATAAAACATCCACGGAAGTAGTCGCTGTATGAAAAAGCATCAAATAACCATTGAGTATTTTGAGAAGGTTCTACATTCAGTGCAAGAACTCTAAATGGAATTACAAAGGCAATTTCAGTTTCTGCATTGTGTGTGAAGTCTTCTACATCAGACTGAAGTTATCACTGGGATGCTGGCACACTACTAGTAACAGAGGCAGTCAACTCAAACACTGGATAGCGAGCATAGATCTAAATAACAGTTTCTATAGAATGCCTCAGCTTAGTTACCAGAAAACAATTACTGGTACATTCCAATAGAGAACACAAGTTTATCTGTGGAGAAATTTCTAAGCAATGAAGTTAACTGACCGCTGTGGCAAACAATGAGAAACCTTGCTTGACAGCAGGCTACAAAGTTATGAAAAAGGGGCAGGAGCCATTGTCATCTAAAAGCCATTTCCTCTAGTGAAAAGTATGAGGAATAACTTAAGGAACTTGGGAAGCTGGAGATTCTGCTCTCCTTTGCACAGCTGAACTCTTGAGGAGGTGAATTATTTCAGTGCCACAATGTTTAAGATATTTTCTAAATTTAAATTTCTATTGTGCATAAGTAAAGAGCAAAGACTTTAAAGCAAGTAAATTGTGAAAACCTTCAAAAACCAGTGTAAGAATTGCTCATAATAAAATTAACCATTTGAAATCAGTGACTTGGATGAGGAGACTACACAAGATGGTCAGCATAAGCACAGGGTGAAGCATCAGTGCAAAACATGCTGGCCAGGAGTGGCTGGACTTGTTGCACCTGCTGTGCTTAAGCCCATGAGGTTGCCGGGGGCAGATGACCATAAGGATGTCTGATGAACTGACTAAAGTGGTGACATTCATCAGCATGTTCCATCACTATTTTAATGTTATGAGGCTGCCAAGTCAAGGATCCATCTTGAGTTCTGTGCATTTTAGTAGAAATTACACTTGCATGCTAGGAGTATTTAGAAACGCTGTACATTTAATGTAAGACTTCTATTATAGGCAGATTTAATCAAATTTCAGTCTCTATGTTGCATGCACACTCTTCCGTACTCATGTTAGACTAAAATTCTCATTAGGACTAGAACCATCTTGGTTTAACACAAGCAGCTTACTTAAGTAGCTGCGCTCCTTTTCTGTATGTAACTTCCTAAAGCAAATTTGTGAAGGGCAAGAATTTCACCTCCTACATCGCCCTCAAAAGGTGGGACAATAAAGTGCCTCAACTCTCTCTTAGCTCTTTTCTTAGAACTACTGCGATTTTCTCTAAAATGACACATTAATTTCAAAGAAGAGCTGATCCTCTCAGAACGGAAAGCTTTGAATGTGATTTTATCCAACGGTTTCTGGCACATAAAGATTTGAATTTTAAACAAGGTTATAAAACAGCTTGATAAAGGAAAGTTTTGACCTACTCGTTAAGCTGTCTTTCTGCAACTCTTACCACTAGCCTTGAAACAGGATACTACTTTTCACTTCTGCAGGTAACTCCTGTTTGTTGCTCTTGGCAGACAGCAGCAGTATGATCCAGCAACCTTCCTTTACATTGAGAGCAGGGTCTGTAGACTGAAGCACCAATTCCAAAGTTAAGGAGTCTGAATGGCATAATGCATTAATCCCAGTACTGATGTCATCCAGCCTCAAACGGCGATAAACTGTAGCTGTTGGTAATTTGCGCTGTGCACAAGAGTAGTTCAGTCTGTGATAGTGCTGGAACTGGAGTATTGCAGAATACAGCCGTCAGATTCCACTTTAAAATTCTGGTATGAAATGAGACAGGGCTAGCAAAAAGCCTCTGACACAGGAAAACTACTGACAGCAACCTTAAAACTCTTCATGAAGAAAGAAACAATACTTTTTTCTCTGGTTGCAAAACTTGCTTGCATTATGACTAGTTGTTTCTGGAGAACCTACAGAGCAAGGTATTTGCTTACCAATTACTGCCTCCTGTTTGCATCCCTGAAAATTTGGGAAGAAATAATTTTTGAAGACGGTGTCTTGCAACACAATAAGTTTTGGCAACTAAACTGTTAATACAACATTTGCTGATGTACTTTGTTAGCATTCCACAGAATAATTATAGCAGCAAGTAGGTAAAAACAATTTTCCAGGATTTTGAGTTGTCACTTATTTTCTGGTGTCTTAATCTGAAGCTTTAAAATAAAGTGCTGAAAACCTTGGAATAGATTAGCATGATCCTATACAACCTAATCATTTTGGCTAACACTTGAGTGTTAAAACCCAGACATCAAGAACACTTTTGAAGCACAGTAAAGCACAGGCACATTGAAACATGTATTCTAACAAGGGACTTTCGTAGCTTGGAATCCAGTAGATGGAAATGTACTGCACCCTGGGGGGGAGTACTGGGTAGTCTGGGTGGTTTTTGAGGGGAATTTTCTGTTGCAGTTGTTGTGTTTTAGTGTTTGGAGGGGTTTTTGGTAGTGGAGCTCTTCAACACTAGTCAAATTCAGAAGTGGAGTAGTGTAACATCTAACTGAAACGAAATTTACATTGTTTTGCTCGTGAGGAATAGTTTTAGATAAAATACTGCCTAGTAGGTGCAATACTATATATTGGAAAAGCCTTCTGTGTTTTTACACACAGCTGAGAAACTTAGAGAGGCATTACCTTAGAGAGCAGGACATCATCGTTGTCTTAGTTTCCCATTTCAACTGTAGCAAGAAGACAAGAAATCTTCTACTAAACCCTTTGTGGAACTTCCAACATACTTTATCAATTGAATGCAGGCTTAAAAATCACACATTTTGTCAATGTTGGTAAATTAGACAAATCCTTTATACAAGCTTTTCTTTGCTTACATTTTCTCCACCTTTGAGATGCTGGGCAGGAGGAAAGCCTTCTTACATCAAGTTGTACAAAGGAAGCCTATCGCAAATAAGGAGCACCTCCTGTGATAGCCTGGCTATTTTCCTCTCATAAGAAGTTTCCTGAGGTTTCAACATTTGGATTTACCCCCTCATACCTGGACGTCAAATCTACCTAGCTGTGGTTCTGGATCAATACGAGATAATAGTTTCATTTCAGAATGCAGTTGCTACCAGCGTTTGGAGTAATGAAAAGTAGAATAAGCCTAGCTACTACAGTCTGTCCAATTTCTAATTCCTTCCTTGTAACAGAAGTGTTACAGTACTGGGAGAGAAAGCTGTCGGCTGGCATTATGGTAAAAACAGGTAATTCTGTTTCAAGATTACATTAAACTATCACAAAAAATTAGATATGACAACTGTGGCTACAATATTTGGTATTTTTAGGATTTTTTTAAGTCCAGAACAATATTTTATTAGTTTCACCGTAATGGTAGCATACTTTTGATAACATCAAAGCTTTTAAGGCTTTTTAAACACCCATATAAGGAAGTTTTGTTATTGAATCCAAAATCTGAGTAACAGCAGGCTATCTTGTCATCTCAGGCATAACACCCATTACAGCACAATTATAAAAAACTTAACACTGTCAATATGCATATTCAATTTGCTTACTAAATTAACTGAACTACAGTTTACAACTTCACAGTATTGCATAGTTCCATTTCATTTAAGTCATATGCAAATGTAGACAGTGGTCAGAACATCATTTACTTTAACTTAGTCAAGCATTGCAAGATTAACAGTCGTGATGTTGTAACAATGTTATTATATATGTGTGTATAAAAAAAGATTTAGTGTAAACATGTTAAATTTTAGATTCAACGGTTTAAGCATGAACATTTGTTCCCAAAAAAGGGCTATTTGAGTTATCAGGAAAATTTGCACCACACTGAACTTCAAAACAATAAAGGTTTTTTAAATGCAACAGGTGATCAACTAACTTGTCCTTTAAGCACTGAACTGAAGCAAACAGTTGAGCTGTATCCAGCATATCCAGAATGCTGAGAAAACAGTACTTGCAGTTACAACAGCCACATCTAACTCAAAGTTTTGTCGACCATTATAGTAGCTGTAGGCAAAATCTGTTACCGTTCATCCTATTGAAGAAAATCAATCTTGATCGATCCAAATTATAAAGCCAATTTCAATTATTTTCTAACTTTTTAAGATGGAAGGCTAGACAGAACCGACCTGGCATAAGGCAAACTTCTCTTAATAAAATAATAGTAAAGTTTAGAATTTTTAATCTTACTTTAAGGAACACAGCCATATTTCAATTTCTTTCAAACAGTGAAACATTTCTCCCAGAGCAAGGGGAATATGGACGTGAGATTTTGCAAGTATTTCACTAGCCAGCTACAGGAGTTGAAAATATAAAGCACAGAAATTCTTAGCATCACCAACAAAAGGAAGAGCAATGGCTTATGCAGCCAGTCACACCATGGATTTGCTTGAAGAAGAAACCACATTCGAACATTTAGAATGTTTACTATAAATCTATTTTTCTACAGAGATTTAAAAGATAGAAAATCCAAGACTAATTTTGGGAAATTCCAGTTAGCGTTTTTCCTTCCTTTGTCTTCTAATCCACTTTTGAATAGCAACATTAGAACTAGCACCAATACAAATTACTACTAATTAGGTTCAGGCTCTTTTCTGATGCAGCTCCAATTCTACCTGTTTGTTTCAAAGAACTTGTAGCTGCTGCAAAAGTCAATCGGGAGTAAAATTAAGAGGAGAAGTAGTAATGAATATCAACCTGTCGTATCACTTGATAAGTGCTAGCTTAGGAGTTGTGTAATTCTTAGTTTCTGCACCTGACAGCTGCCTCAGAAAATTATTCTTCATGGATATTTTGTGTAATCAGTTTCTTGATACAAAAGCACCCAAACTGCATTTTTGTCTTCTATAAGCCACTAGGCAGCAATATGAGAGGAGTCTTGCAATTTTCCTATATTCTACTTGCACTGTTTTCAACCCCTCTCCCATTTTTTATTTTTCCTTATATTGGACTAGGATTACACTGCTTACACTTTGCTTTTTTTTTTTACTTTAGCAAAACAATAGCTGTCACTTTTTAAGCAGGAGTACAGTAAGGAATAGCAAAAATAAGTGCTAAGTTTGTGTATCTTCGATTTTCCACAGTGGTAATTTCAATTTGACTTTATTTGGACAGTGTGCCCGTAATCCCCTCTTCACGTCAAGTTTTGACTATGAATTCTAGTTGTACATACATTGGCCTTTGAAGCTATGTACATAGATAACCAATATTCCTGTAACCTTATTCTTCTTCTCGTGGAAATGTGACTGTAATACAGCTCTCATTGTAAGCCAGTACAGTTTGGGTTGGGCTTTTTTTTCCCCAATTCCATGTTATTTCTGCTATTACTTAATGCTTGCAGTCACATCTCATTTCTACCCTTCAGTTTTACCAGATGGCAAATACACAGGAGGGGAGAAAGTATCAAATACTCAACTTCATTCTCTGCCTTCCAAGGAAAGTGTTATAAGCTAGGTGGGAAATCAAGAAAGTCAAATAAGTAATAAATGCATATACACAAATCTACAAGGCCACTACTGTCCAAAGATGAGGAAAAACTTAGAATTAGCCTGTTATACAACATTCAGTTGTTTGCACAAAACTACTATTCTGCACTCTGGAAATAATTTAAAAGTAGCCTTTGTCAAGCTGTTTGCACATCTGTCTAATTTTAGAAGCTTTCTTAAGACATTCTTGTATTTAATACAAGAATAGAAATTGAGTGCAAATCTAGAGTCACTTCGGAATCTAAGTCAGTTATTGTCAAACTCAACCTACAATGTTTGACTTTAGTTTAATTAGAACATACCAATAATCTTTTTAATTGATCACTCAATTACACATTGCCATTAGAAAAGTGGTTTTTTCCACTTTCCATATTTCCCTATTTTTCTGAAGAAAGCTTAATAAACATTGGTTACAATGTTATGTTGCAATTCGCAAAATAAAAATAATATGAATAGCCAATGTAAGTTTTATGGTAATGTAAAAGGATTCATTTTGAAACTGCACATAAGATTTATTAGCATATCTTATGCTGCTCTGGATTCACTTCAGCATAAAATGTAATATTTAAACGGTCAGTGAAATTGATTCTGTATTCTATGAATCAGTGCAAGGCTTCTATTTTTACATAATATTTTATTCAAAGAATCTGGTTTTACTTAATTACATTATCACACTTGCTTTAGTTCTTCCTACCACTTCAGCTCAGCTGTCCTTGACCTTTCTAGAACAAACCTCTCTTCACCACCAACGCTGGCAGCATAGATCCCCATTTATAATCCCAGTAGAGCTTTTCAGCTTGTGCTCCACTCGGCACTTTAGCTCAAATGTTGGTGTGCCTCATTAGGAAAGCAGACCTCAACAATTGGGAACTTCTGGCTTATCTCAAAGTGAGAAGAAAATCTGCTGTCCCTCATTTCCTCTCCAATACACTGAAAGAGCGACTCCTACATTATTTCCACAAAGCAGCAGGTGAAAAACTTGACTAAACTTCCTTTCTGGCAACATAATCTTGCCATAGGATAAGACTTAGTACATTACAAAATGCCGTTCCAAATCAGTTACAAAAATACATACATAGAAAAATAACTGTAGCCATTTATACTTGCTTAGGATTACATAAGAATATTTTAATTATTGAAAACATTTAAGTGAAATACTACTGTAATGAGTACAAAATTAACTTAAAAGTTTCAATTTGTTTGAAACGAAGTAGCTTCTAAAGTAAATTTAAATCAACTCACAAAAGTCTGCTCCCATGATGATGTCTTTTAGTACAAAATTAATTCAAAGTCTTGTGATATTTATTACCATATCTGCAATATTCATTTGCAAAGTTGCTGAATGGGAGTTACCTAAGAAACTCCACTTTCCTTTTAAAAAATTTATATCAACTATACTTCTCTTACCTGGAAAGACTGCAAAAACCATTTTCAACGGGCATTAATGGTTGCGGTCCACAGCCAGTTTGCTTTGCTCTCCAGACATGCCTACCATGAGATGTCCAAAACTGACGTTCCTTCAAGTGCTCCCCATTTATTTAACAATTCCTTAGAGGCAAACCAGCCAGGATAGAAAGGCTGAAATTGTTTTCTGGCCTCAAAGTTAACCTGTTCAGAGGAGTCAGTACTGAGCAACAGCAAACACACTTACCTTCCGAGCTTTGCCCAGCCTAGTCAGAGCACAGAACCCATACAAGTTTTCTGCATATATACACTTGATGTTCCAAGTAAGTCATTGAGAAAAGCTAAGCAGTTTTATTTGTTGTTCTTTACAGATATACAAGTTACTGAAGCTGGGGCATTAGGTGTGGAAGACAGAAAAATAGTAGCAAGATGCAGATAGATTTTACCACAGTGCTTAGCATACTTTTTTTTTTTTTTTTTTTTTTTTTTTAAGTGACAAGATGCATTTTTTCCAGTTGCAGTTTCAGGCTGTGGCAAGCTCATTAAAAATGCACTGAACAGTTCTGTATTACTAAAGTACTAAAAGCATATAGCAATTTATTAAAAACATGAAATATGTAGTGTTAGAACTTAAGGATCACAAAAATGACAAACTCCTCCTGTTAAGTGTTGGCAATATCCCATTGTAACCACAACCATTTTTTACACATGATTCTTTTTTCAACTAGCTAGTTCAGGCACAGAATTTGTAATACTTCTAGAACTACTCAATTAGTCATACATATTCTGTTTTTCCACAGGTGTTTTTTGTAATGTTACTCTCAGAAGTCACCAGTAGTTTGATTTTAATATTTTCAATATGGCATCAGCAGAAGTACCTGTACCATGCCCTACCTGACTTTTACAAAATTTGGTCTGACCTAAGCTTTCAAATTTTATCCTAAAAGGCACCAAAATCTGCTGTGTCAGAAAAAGACTGCAAAATAGGGGGTGAAGTGGGAAGAAGAAACCAAAAAAATAAAGCAGTCTTCTAAAAAGCAAATATTTTCCACTGAGTAATGCTAAATATGCTAGCAAGATATAATCAAGTATCTAAAGGTTTTGTTACTACATGTAGGATATGTTCTCTTACAACTTTTTCTTTAGTACTAACTAGGGAATATTCAGTCACACACCAAAACCAGCACTTGATAATCCTTAATTAACATTTTTTCCCCAAATCTGTATTACAAGTGAAATATTTTAATGACACCCTATTGACATAGTCAAAAATTGAAGAGATTTATAATTCATTTTATATGAGACATTACTGTGACTTGATATCAAGTTAAACTTAGGGTAGCCTATATTAGTTTAGCTGTAACAAGAGAAGAAAAAAGTTAAATAAACCTGTTACTTATCCCTCCAATTTTAAATATCTTAATTTGGAAAACAGTAGTGTAATCATTAATTTGGAAAACATTGTGATAGTAGTTCACAGCCTTAGCCTTCTGACATGGTCTCATTTACTTCCAGCTATAATTTTTAGTATTTGGGTTTTGAAGTTCTGCTGTCATGTGGAAAATATGGCTACACTTCGCAACTGGAAAATACTCAACTCTGAATCGCCAAATCAGTAGATTGCAATTTAAAAAGGTGCAAAACCTTGTATGCAAAGAGAAAGGACCTTGCCTCAGTCAGAAAGATTAAAGAAACAGAAAATCTCAGTACAGTTTCCTCTACCATTCACAGTAATACATTCCCCACAAAGCATCTAGTGGAACAAAAGAAAAAAATTATGGTGGGAACCATTGCTTTTGCGTTAATATTGGTTATTCCTCCCCCTTATTTCCCATTGTACAGGAGGAAAGCATGAAACTCCAGCTTTTAGGAAAAGGTACATTCTCCTCGTTGATAGCTTCCTGGGAAACAATTAATGGGAGAACAAATCACATTTGGGGAAGAAAAAAAAAGAAATAAAAAAGGCTTAGCAATACTTCCACCCAAATGTTCCCTTCCCCTCCTCCCAGTGGTAAAAAGGTATGTTCTTCAACACTAAGCTTTAGATGCCTCTGCACCATAACTTCTACCTAGCTTAATCTTTGTCTCTGAATTCTCTCCCTTTTAGAAATTTTGCTAAAATGATACTTAAGAACAACTGTATAGAAAAAAAGTGTGTATTTACTACAGTTGTTTTGTTGAAGGTACTTCTCACTCTCATCTTAAAACAGAAAATACAGGAATAAAATGTTGGAGGGAATAATTAATTGGCATGGAGACTTCAAAACAGATATATCCTCTTTTTGTGGGTGTAACTGTAAAAAAGGACTGCACAAAAAGGCTTGAGGAAGTGAAGCAAGCACAGCGACCTATCTAGAATTTTTTTTTTTTTTTTTTTTTTTTTTAAGAGGGGAACTGGAAGCTCCTTTGACAAAAACAGGCCTAAAATAAACTCTACTGAAAAATTTCAGACCTTGGGAGGCTCCCACTGTTCACTAATTTTATAGGCCGTGATCCTTTAGAGTAGATTTGGGACCTGTTAGTAACAGTAGTGAAATAATTACAGGTAATAGCAAATATAGTTACTCAACTGAATTAATATTTAAATACTTCCATCAAGTACTTTAACTCAATTTACATTTTAACTAATTGTTGGGCACACAGCAAAATTCTCCATTATTATTTAAAAATTAGAATAAATTAGTGTGGTTCTCTTCAGCCTGTCTTTTAAACAGCAGATGCCAGCAAGCCTTATAATTATAAGGTCAAACATGAATATAGATGATATTATATTGACAAATTCTATGATTATTTTTACAGTATGGGTTGTAAACTGTAGCTTTCAAAAATGTAGCTTAAATTGGCTATAAGCCTGCCATTCTGAGTCCTCTACGGTTGTTAAACAAGTGTAAACAAAAAGTACACTTCATGTGTTTTTTCCTGCACTCAATTTCTATACACAGTTAATTCTTATATACATAATTCTCCAGTAAAACCATGCCTATATATGAGAGCCACAGATAACTTATCAGTAGAATAATTAAGATTTAAGTTAATATTGATGCACTTTTAGATAAAGTATAAACAAGTTGCTGAATCTCTGCCACGCTTAAGCAGCACAATAATATTGGGGTTTAAGGTTTATTTTACTACACCAATATTTACGTGCTGCTAGGGCGGAACAAGTATGACAACTCTTCTATTCATCCACATGTCAGGAACACAAATTTGTTAATAGAAAAATTTGTATTAGGATCTTCAACTGTTTCTCTTCCTTAAATTTCTAAAGCAGCAAATAATGATTCGCACCTTTATTACAGCATGCAAACCATGATGTGCTGCTAGAGTACTTTAAGGCCTCAAATACAAGACTTATAACCTAGACAGTATTTTTTTTATAACTGGAAATATAGCTTTACGTAAAATTGTTCTTATTCATACACCAACCTGTAAAATTAAGAACCTGTTATGGTCCAGATCAATTCCATGGCTTCGAAGAAGAATACCAACATCTTTGAATGTCTTTTTCTTTCCATTGATGTGGTAGACAGAAGTATTATCTCTATAAGCAGTTCTAGATACATAAAAATTGCTGTTAGGAATGACTTCGTAGTCATCTCCTTCCTGTTTTGAGGAAAAACAAAGCCAGAAAAACAATTACCATATCACAGGTTTACCTCATATTTCACAATTAAGCACAGAAGTTTTATCATGTTCAGGTTTTAAGTCAACTGCACTCTGAGGTCTAATAGAAGTGGGAACTCTCTTAAAGCTGCATTTCTCAAAAAGTGAGGAAAAAAACCACAACAATTTGAGCACTGGACAAAAAATAGCACAAATCATTTAAACTGAGTGGCCTTCATAGTATGCCTTTCCTACCTCAAATACAAGCTATTGCTTTGAAAATACTTAATTTATTCTCTTTACCACTGCTTCAAATCACAAAGGAAAAAGCCTACTTCAAATTTAAAGCGGCTGTGCTATTCCACCCTTTAAATTTTAGATTAGGAAGTCTTGAATGACTTAACTACTGTTTGCTTTTTAAACTCCTCTTTTATAGTGCTAGGAAAAGGAGTTACTTTTAGCTGAGTAGTTCTAAAGAGAAACTGTAGAAGATAAAAACATTAAAGATGTGACAAATATGACATCATCAGCTTCAAAAGATATCTTAGACTTACCTACAAAGCAGCAACTAAAAAAAAGCTGGTATTATACTTTTAAAAAGTTAAAATTGATGCATGCTTCTTGTAAAGCCTTAAACTGGCCTACACTTTCCCAGATTAACCCTCAAGAGCATAATCAAATTGGTATCTAGTATATTCACAAGTTCTTTAGATCACAAAGTTAGCTCCTAGATGTTGATACAAAGTCAAGTGAAAAAAAACAATAAATTTAGTAATTTTTGAATCTGGTTATTATAAATACAAACAAAAGGTATGTGTGTATGTATATCAAGCCAAAGGAAAAAAAAAAAAAAAAATCCATCTTTTAAAACAGTTCCTTCAGAGCCTGTATATATTGTCACTTTATTAACACAGTTTTTGAAATTTCAGTGTACATCCCCCACTGTTTTGACCAACCCAAACTCAACAGTTGATATTTCAGCTAGAACGTGTGCACAAAAATTAGATGAAGAGAAATAAGTTCCTTGCATTGTAATTGCAATAAATAAAAAAAAAAAAAGTCAGAAGTTTTTATCAATACATGAAGTGGGAAGCAAAATAAGTATTTTTTTAATTTCCCAAGACTTTTTATTTCATTCAAACAAAATATCAGGTTCAAAAATATTTAGTGGTCAGATGTAAGGTCCAGAATTTTTTACAACAAATCTGTTTTAAAATTGCAGGCATGTTTACAGTATATAGAGTATAAATAAGTTTAAGATTCATTATATATTTTTCTAAATGTAGATAATCTAAAATAGTTTCTAACTGGTTTGAAAAGTTTTGCTTAAATAGGCTTTATTTCTTAATATACAAGCTCATATTATAAATTTAAGAATATATAACATGTCTAAACATAGACTTACGAATTTTTAGGGGTCCCATTAATTTCAGAAATAAGTCTAATAAAACAGATGACAACTCTAAACCAATGACTTCTTAAAAT